TTTGGCACATTAGCGGCACACATTCCACTCATAGTCACTGGTTATTTAAACATAGCTGACTATATTCGGCTTTGAGAGCACAGTCAGTCAAAAAAGCTAAACTTTCTCTACAACGACTATCACATGGTCATTCAACAAATAAAGCTGCATGGATACATGCCAATAATTTCCAGCACATAACAGGAATGGTGGAGATCTAAACTTTAAGCAACAAGTCAAAGGCAGAATTACAACAATGAGGAAACAGCACATCCTGTACAGTATGAGGAGACAATGCAGAACTGCGGAAAAAGTGCTTACTTTGATAATCCTGACAAGCTGTTTTGTTTGAGGTCAAAGGTATCAGGGTGCACTTTAATTATTTGTAATATCCACAGTGATTTAGGCTTTCTACAGCTATGATCATATGACCTAGCATTGCGTCTCCTTCTGTATTATGTAAACATTAACAGAGACGGGGACAGAAGGGTACAGAGTGGTCCTTTCACAATTGTGGTCCTTTTAACAATTGTGATTTTTCTGTTAAAAGTGATTGTCTTTTATTATTTAAGCTCCAGGCCTGTTTTTTTTGCACCAAGAAGGCCAGCACATCCATTTTTTTTTCTAGGGCTAGAACACTGAATATAGTGTGCCAGACAGACAGTTCACAAGCACTGTGTTAAATTTCCCTTAAAACTTCATCCATCCATCCATCATCTAAACCGCTTATCCTTCTGGGTCGCGGTGGGGTGCTGGAGCCTATCCCAGCTGTCATTGGGCGGAAAGCAGGATACACCCTGGACAGGTCGCCAGTCCATCACAGGGCAGACAGACAGACATACACATTCACACACACACTCACACCTAGGGGCAATCTAGCATGTCCAATCGGCCTGACTGCATGTTTTTTGGACTGTGGGAGGAAACCGGAGTACCCGGAGGAAACCCACGCAGACACGGGGAGAACAGGCAAACTCCACACAGAAAGGACCCTGGTCACCCGGCCGGGAATTGAACCCAGGCCATTCTTGCTGTGAGGCGACAGTGCTACCCACTGCGCCACCGTGCCTCCCCTTCCCTTAAAACTTAAAAACTTTAAACATAAAACTTAAGACAATGTTGAGTAGTCCAAGATGAATAAACTCTCTTAACTGCACTCTTTCAAATTGAGATTTTAATTTAGATTAATCATGCAGCCCTACTCATCCTCTGACAAACTCAACATACTTTGTTGTAGAACTGTCACTATTGATTACACAGGTAACTCAGTTATCTATTTTGACTATCATTTGAGTTTTTAAATAAGACCAAACAATAAAAATGAACTTAACTGAACAATAACAAACCTTTCACACTAAACTATTTCAAAATACTTTACTTAAGATACACTTTTAAAAAAAGATATTAAAACACTATATGGTAAAAATGCATATAACTGGATGTAAAAGTTCTGTTTCATAAAGTAAGAAAGACCAGCAAGAGAATTTAAATATGCATTATTACATGCCAACATCATTTCCAATTCATCTTCTTAAAAGCATTTAGTCAAGTAACATGACAGCCCTACTTCCTACTACTTGATTCAACAATCAAGAAATCAATTGATGCAAATTCACAAGTTCCAAGATATCATAAAATGATAAAAAAATACCCATGAAAGAAAATATGATTCATACACTGCCATACAACATATTGAGGAGCTATGAGGCCTCCCCATCTCTGGCCCAGTTGTGAGTTTAACGGGCATTCCATTTGTTCTAATGGATTAGCTCTCAGCAGTAGCACAGGCCTCAGTGTCCCGTCCACCTTTCTGCCTGGCTGGGCATCCATGGAGGAGCACTGACCCATGCCCGATCTTCTACCTGAGGTTGCATTTTTTCCCATTGCGTTAAACTGGGTGTTTTTAGAGGCCAATGCTCTTAGGGCGTGCAGGGGGGCCCAGCACTGCCGTTGCTAAGCTCAGATGATCTGGCAGATTTACACTGGGATGTTCAGGTTTGAATACAAAGCCATCAAGCTCGCTTCAGCCTGGCACACACACAAGGTGACCCCTTATCACCTCTCTGCGCTGTGGGAAACTAAGCATGGACTCATGCAAATGGCAAGAGTGTTTCACTGAAAAGGTCCTCTTTGCAAAAGATACAAAGCATGAGACAAAGTGTATAGATATTAAAGCTGATAAATTCATAGATTTAATTTATTAAGCAAAATCTAATGCTAAAATATTTGCATTTAATACCACTGATCAGACATTCTAAACCACTGGACTGCATTGGTCAAAGACACTACTGTACAAAATAAACATGACAGAAGTGTATTTGTAAGAATTATAACACATATCCATTAAAAACCCCTAAGGCCTGAGATAATAAAGCCAGGTATACAATAGAAATACCTGTCAACTATCCAATTTCAACAACCCAAAGAAGTCTGTATTAAATATGTATGAGCCTCTAAAACAGAGGCCATATGGTGACTCCATAGATCTAAAGTCTAACATATGGTGTCATGGTTCATCATCAAACAAGAGCCAATGCTGATACAATAGTACATTAAATGAATTATACACACACACATATATACACACATATATATATATATATATATATATATATATATATATATATATATATATATATATATATATATATATATATATATATACACACACACACACACACACTCATATACACACAAAAATGGAACATGGAACAAAGTCACAAGGATCTAGATAAGTAGTTGAACATTTGAGTTGCTTATTTAAAGCTAAATATACAGGGATGACAACCATAACAAAAAGACTTTGCTGGCAATTCAAAGCATTCAAATTTTGCTCATAATGGGATGGACTTGCAACATAATTTACACTGTGTTAAACACTGACTTCTTAGACCTGCCATTGAATAACATGTGTGTCATGCCTTTGGAATTCACCTTTCTTTTTCACGTGAGAACGTCAGGAACTTTTGATGACTTGACATGGCATTCTTCAGGCATGAATACATACACTGACATTCTCCAAAGTTCAGGAAGTTCCTGGCATCATTCTCTTTATTGAGAGTACCTCTGACACCATGCTGGGATTTCAAGGGGGGGTATTCCTTAAGAGGATTATTTTTGTAAGGCAGATTTGAACCAACTCAGATATCCTGGTGGGGTATGGGGGAGAATAGAAAGAACTGGGTTCTTCTGCTTGACACTTTCTGTCACCTTGACATTATTACCATTTGAGAGCAGTTACACACCACCAAAACACAACATGGATGTGGCACATCTATCCACCTACATACACACATACTCACTCATTGTTTTCTGCTGTAACACTCAAGCTTAAACCAGGTCACCTGAAACCAAGAGGTGACAAAACCTTGCTGGCTCAAGAGAGTAACACTGAAACTGTATTTTTGCCCCCTGTTATCCTGGAGTGTGTTTTCCAGATGTGGTTCGCTGGACCAGCAGCCTTCTACTCAAAGCCCCAGCACTCAAAAATAAACCAACTACATTTCCCACGCTCCAACACTACTTCTAGGACATGGGTTCATAATAGCACAAACATCTGGCTGGGCATAATATTAGGGAAAAACCCTGCAAAATGTTTTAGAGTCTAAATATCAGATTTAGACAATGTGATGCTGCAAATGGAATTAAGTTTAAGCAGTGTGAAACTAAACTTCCAGTTTGCTCACAAACAGTCAAAGCCAATGTTTCCACTTTAAACAAGTGGTCATCTATTACAGTGTGACTGAGCCTATGGCATGAGGATACTGGCATGCCAGAAAGCAGTTTCTGGTGTAATTCATATTCCATCTTAAACAACGCCTGGTATGATACACTCAGCAGCACTTTTACAGTAGCCGTACAACTCTGGATGTTTGAAATGCCTTTGCAGACGTAGAAAAGAATGAACGGCATTCGGTTGTCTCACAGTGAGTGTGGGAGTTGAACAAGTAGGGGGAGAAAACGAAGCCCAATTCGTAAGTGTGAAACTATTTCGTCCAGTTTTTCGTGGAACATTCCCTGAATAGCATCCAGACTCAGCAGCAAAAATATTACAGTATGTGAGCAACTATATTAGGAGACTGAATCAACTGACATCGATCCCAGCAGTAATAGTGTGTATATGTGTGTGTATGTGGGAGGTGGGGAGGTGGGGGGTTATATATGTGCATGTAGGCTTGTATGTGCTAGAGAGGGGGCAAGAAAGAAACATTACACAACAGAAACAAGAAAGTTTAAATAATAAGGGCTAACATTAACAATTACTGCCACCCTCACACATCTTTATAAATCTGATTACAACTGACACTTCTAATGCACCAAGTCCAAAGAGAAAACTTGTTTTGACTGTCAAGAGAAAAAAAAGGAATGAACAAATATCAATTGAACTTCTAGCAGTGAGAAAGGAAGGCTAGGTTTTTTATTTTTTTTTATTTATTTATTTTTTTGGAGAGGGGGTGCTGCTTGTTTTTAGGCTGAGGTAATAACTGCAACAAAAAATAAAGTTTTGTTCACCAAAAAAGAACTGTCTTAACTATTTTAGTCAAGCAACAGGTGCAATTGGTGTAGCTGGTCATGATCCATTCAGTTCAATTCTACTTAAGTAACTGAAACAGGCTGGTGATGGCGAAACAGCGCAGTGCAGAACAGTATAGCCTCTCAGAGAAAATTAATACAGCAACACATTGACAGTGGTTAGTCACAACTAACTTTTACAGAACCGTCAAACACTTGGACACGCTGGCAAACGTATCATTGTTGTTTTTCCTTTATTATTATGTATGATCACCACGTATTTCAACAAGGTTGACCGAACGATCCACAGACAGTAGTCTAGCTCAGAGGCGCCAGCAGCCTGGTTTCTACGAAACTCCCAGGTAAACAATGAGAGCCACCAAACTCTCTCACACAGCGACACGCTCTGCCACACTCAGCAGCACACGAGGTTACTTCTAAAGAAGCTGAAACTTCGACAGTGGCAGAACACAAACAGTGAATGTAGCCTAACAAGCCGGTAAACTCACCTCTCATCCACTCGACCACTTGTTTAGGTGTCCACTTGGTTATTGGCTCCATCGTTGGAATTTAAAACACAGAAAGGAATGAAATGCTCGAGGACTGAAGTTTAACAAAACGCTGCCTGCCGCCAAAATCTACAGCCTCTCTGACTACACACTGTAATCATTCTCCCATGTGTTCTGCCCGGACAGAAACGCTCCTCAGCTCGGTGAGGAACTCTGGCACTCTCATTCAGACACACATGAGCACTAAAAACAGATCCGTGGCTCGCGGTGTCACTGGAGTCGCGAGGTAGGCGAACGGATCAAATTACACTTGGGCTCATCCAATCAGGAGCAAGCGCGCCCCGCCTACACGGCAGGGGGCGGAGCCAGTGCCAACACGCTGGAAACTAGCTGAGCGTAATAATAATAAACAATGTGGGCTTTGCTGTGTGGACAGCGTTGAATGATGGAAAGGGTGAATCATGTAATTCTACGAATTCAGTTGATTCTGTTGGTGTATATTTTTGGAAAATAGAACGTGATATTTGTTTCTTGGAGAACAAGACACATTCTCACAAATTCTTTGTTTCCATGAGTTTTTTTCCCTGTGCAGATAAATACTGAGCACTATCTATTTATTTATTTATTTATTTATGTATTTATGACTTCCTTGTGACAACAAAAATGTTGTTGCAGCACTCAAAATAACACTCTGTATGCTACTTTACCTCTCTCTCTCTCTTCCCAATCTCACTGGTCCCTCTAGAAATCTATAAATAGGAATAGTGAAGGGTAATGCTGGGATCAGACTACAAGACTACAAGAATTTTTGTCTTTCATGAAGGTCACTATGTCAGATTAGGCAATCATAGGGCTATTTGTGCCGTGTCTTGGTTTGGAGACACTACGAGTTTGAAGCCGACCACTTATCATTCAAGTTCTTCCATGAGTTTATATGTCATCAAGGAGGAGGGTCAAGAAATTGTCAATCATGGCTACAGAAGTGCTATGTGTGATGCTGGAGGTTTTGTGTTCTGAAAAGAGAAAGAAAATAAACAAAAACAACCATGAATAGGACAGTATGGACTGTATGTCCTTCAAAGAGAACTTGGGGTAACAAATGTGCTAACATATCAAGATCATACATAAATTTAGCTAGCTACCAGATTCACTGTATGTAAAAAGATGCTATAAATGCTGTTTCTCGCAAACATGTATGTTTTTGAAATCTGTCATGGTATTGCCTTGAGGAAATGTCAAAAAGGCAGGGGTATTGTTGCCACAGCTGAATGAATCTTTCCTCTGTTTCATTGTTCCCTCTTTGTCTTTGCCATGATTACATAAGTCAGAAAACAGGCGTGTCCAATCCTATGCGCAAAGGGACGATGTGGCTTCAGCTTTTCACTACAAACAAGCTGGAGCACACCTGATTGTACCTGTTTAATCAGCTGGTCTCAAACATTTCATCAGGTGACCTCTTGCTTCGTTGGAGTGAAAACCTGCAACCACACCAGCCCTTTGCGGATAAGATTGGACACCCCTGTTCTAGACTTTTGTTGGGGTGTCGTGGGGCATCCCGGATGCTACATCGCTGTTCTTCGATTATGTCAGACTACAAGGCTTTCATTGTTCCCGACGCTCATACTCAACTAAACTGAACAATAGTTGCTAGTATTTCTGTATAAACAGATATCCTCCCTTATTACAACTTACAAAATTAACAGAATAATGCATGAACAAAAATACACTCACTTACTCATCATCTGAGGCCACTTACCCTCCTGGGTTGCAGGGGGTGCTGGAGCCTATAACAAAAATACATATATACATAATACATAATAAACAAAACAAATGATCTTAAATTATTACTTTATTCAGATCTTACGCCTTACGCCTAGAAATGGGTCCCACCTACTGTAAATCAAAATTGCCAGCTCCTAATTTTTTTACCAGTCTATCTAACACGTTAGGCCTTCAGTTCAGCTCCTGAAGACCTAACCAATGGGAGATGGTAGCTTGGTTGTATAATGGCTGTATCATTTTTAGTTAGACATTTAAAGAGTTTAATCCTTTTGTTTCCAACTAAAACTGAAATAGGAGTTTCACTATAATACTTGCAGAGTTTAAATATAACAAGAACAATTATTATATTGAATAAAAATGAACTAAAAATTACAGACATGTATTTTTTTTGTATTTCACAGAAAACATTAGGCCACAGATCATATTTGTCTGCCACTACATATTAGGCTGCACATTGTAACAAAGAAGTTGCATTGACTGCTGGTTGGCGTTTTGCCTCACAGGACACACACACACACATGGTTGTCGACGAGCTCCTCAGGGTAAATATGGTTTGGGCTATTGTAGTAGTATCCTTGTCAGGACAGGTCTAGAGGCTGCACACAAACAGTTGTAGGCCTGTTTCACACGATGTGAGCCATATGAAACAGGTGGACTGGTGTAGAATCCACTCCTCTCTCCACTTAAAAACAAACCACGCCTTATCAGGTGTAAGTCTAACCCAAACCACACACTCCTGCCTAACAGCTGGAGAGGAAATTAGAGTGTACCTGTAATTAAATCTACACACGTATCACAAGCAATAAAACGTTCAGAAAACTGAAGATCTTTTCTTCACCCTTCTCTATGACAGTTGGAACACTGTCTGACGCATTAATACCAGACTGACTATTAACACAAGGCGTAATGACCATTTGCCTCTTATCACTCAGGGAAAGCGAATGAACTGTTAAATGCTTACAAACATTTACAAATATGATTTCAAAATGTTTTTAAACACATAAAAATGCCCAAATTGTCCATGTACAGTCATGGAGAAAAGTTTGAACACCTTGGATAAAATTATGTTTTATTAATCTTCTGAGTGAAAATAAGTTAACACATCCTCTACTGGGAACAAACTAATGGTGACTGCTGGGAAACATTGATGTACAGTAACTTTTACATGGGCCACATTTTTATTTTTTTCCAATATGTTTAACGCAGCAAATAAACAGTAATTGTGCGTTAAAATGGGCAGAAGTGTGTTCTTTGTAGAGGATGTGTTAACTTATTTTCACAAAACCACAATACATGTCATTTGACCAGCAGTGCCCAAACTTTTCCATACAACATGGTCTGTATCAGGAGTGCCCAAACCTTTTGTCCAGTTTGTGGGGGGCCATGTGCCATACAAATTAGTAGGTAACTTTCAAATCAAATATTTAAAAAAGTGTCAGTAAAAAAAATGCACTATATTTTGGTGTTTCAAGTCTCCAAAATGCAACAAGTAACAAGTAATTTAATAAGTTACATTTGGTATACAATTTGTTTGTTTTCTCATTGGCTGAGGGGGTGGGGTTAAAATAGCTTTCTGGCCGGTCAAATCAAACATCCAGATGGGCCAATTTTGACCCTTTGGCAACATTTTGGGCAACCTTGGTCTATATATAAATATTCTGGAGATTAGAATACTTTTCAATTTCCAAATATGTGCCTTCCTGAATCACAACGATATTTAATTTACAGTATAAACAACTACAGATATTCCAGTATAGTATAAGAAAACTTTCTTACATACTTCTCATTCTTGGAGGATGGAATAATATAGACCACAATTAGCACCTTCATCTTTAGAGACAATTATTTAAATTAATTAAATTATTAATAGCTGTAGGACTCAATCAGAGGTAATTGCTAGCATAATTGCAGGTGAACTGTATTAAGTTTACACCCGTAGCACGCAAAGGCACTAAGAAAGACCAGAGAGTGACTGAGAATGAAGTGGCTCAGGCAGCAACTTGCACACTCAAATTATTATAATAACAGAGGAGAATATCAGTCCTTCAGGGAGACAGGTGAACCTTAATCACATCAAAGGAGAACCAAAATGAGGATTTAAGGCCTTCAGGAGGCCTACTTAAGTGAAGTAATTAACTAACTTCAACTGTGTTGAAATGGGGTTTCTGTAATGGTGACCGCAGGGAGAGATTGATGATCTGTCATTACTGACTTAAAGTGACACTTCAAATGAGCAAACCATGTTTACATAAAGTATGTTATGTATAGACAAAACTCCTTACTTAAAAAATGAATGTCTTGATTTTTTTAAATTTAAATGCATACAACGTTTTAACAAGAATAAGATACATACATCAAAACATTTTGATCTCTAGCTTAAATCATTTTCTGCAATAATTACAAGTTATTCATTTTCAGAGGATACTTCTGAGGAGATTAGATATAAGAAGAGGAGCTTCCAAAACTCACACAAGGAAGAAAATGCTAAAATATAGAGAAAATGGAACTCCTAACAACCGTGCAAGACCTGGTAGACCACCAAAGCTGTCCCTATCAGATAAACAGTACTTAAGGCTTTGAGAGATTTGAGTTATACTCTTGTGTTTCTGTTCATCCTTCCACTGTGAGAACCCAATACTGTGGGTCTGGAAGAATGTGTAGCTGTCAAGAAGCTTTTACTGAGAAAAGGAAATACACAAAAAAGAAGAACATCTGCAGATTGAACAAAGAAGCTTGTGGTGTTCTCAGAATAATGGACTGTCCACCCCAGAGTCCAGTCCCTGAACATCACTGAATGTGTTTGGGATTGCTTGGATTGTGAGAAGTGAAAAAATCAACCACCTTCTAATACTAAACTTTGAAGATGTGGAAATATATCTCTGCAAATTTCCTTGACAAAAATGAAAGCAAGTATCCAAAAAGAATGGACGCTATAGAAAAGGCAAAGAGTGGACACAAAAATGCTGACCAAATTATATTGTGTTTAGTCGTTTAGGCTTCTGTGGAATTTTCTGTTAATTGTGTGTTTTCTGCTTGTTGTCCTGGCACTGAAAAATAAATAACTTGTGCTAAATGGCTGTTTTCTGACTTTTGCAAGGTGCTGTATGTTGATCTAACACAACTGTGCTTATGTGGAAATGATACACACATTTGAATTGAGCAAATTCAATACATCCCTTTCTCCAATGTAATCAAACATTGGAAAAAAGCACACCTTCAGAAAATGAATATTCCATTTGCAGCATGCACTGTGAATTCTCCATATTCTTAGTATTGACCAAATGCTTGGGCTTGCTTGATGCTTTGCAGCAGATACTCATAGTAACTTGAGAGAGTCTTTACATCCAGGACAGGTGCATAAGAAATCGAGTTTCACTTCTGGCACAGCTTTGGGGGTTCACAAGAATCAGTGTGAAATCGGAACAGTCTTAATGTACTATGAGATGTGTGTTACTGTGATGAGACATTTAAG